ACAAGGTAAACAGCAGGTGTGTGCCACCCCGAACTTGCCAAAAAATACACATCTCTTAAGGAGTGGAATATAGACAAGTCAAAAGCTGTGATAAGGCGTGAGTCTGATAAGAGAGTAAGGAGTAATAGATAACTGAGCAAAGAAAGAAAGGGGAGTGATAACACAACCGTTTCAGCAGAAATTTGGTAAAGAAATGGGCTTAACTTCTCTATTTCACGAATTGTAGTTTGGTCCATTGAGAGGCTCGAAGAAGTGGCGAGATTTGATTAAGCAGCAGGAATAAGGAGTGCAGATATGTGATAGTACAAAAGATCACTGTAGCGAAAAGTATGTAGAAAAACTGGGTTTCAAAGAGTACCCAGAGTAGCGTAATAAAATAGAAACATGAGAAGTAGAAGATAAACACTCTTTTTCAACGAGATGCTAGGCCTCCGAATGCAGTGTCCGTCCACAATACATAAATATGGAGTACCACTTAGAACAACTGTGAATAATAAGGGTGGCGTGATGCATAAAACAATACAATTTAGTTGTCAACGCTTACAGCAAATCTCCGTGGGAGAGTTTCGTTAAGAATTATTAAGAATTCATTAACTTAATCGGCGAGTAAGAGATAGAAAGTTTGGATTTGCTAGTAAGTTTTAAGATTGAGTCTATGTATATTAACATTTTTGAAAACGACGCCTCACAGGCTCTGCATTCAACACTGGACCAACACCAGAAGATTTCAGGAAGCACGTGAATAATGATACTGACGAACCAGGTGATGTACTAGGCATATTTTACCTGAATGATAAACTGTACAAACAAACAGGAGAATTAGCTATGGGATCGTAGTTGTCACCAGATCTTGCCAAATAATGACATGGTTAAATTTGAGGAACGCATAATTCAAGATACATTTTAGTCCCTAAGTCATTAGTTCCCTATATAGGCTACCACTTTGCAGTTTGACAGCATGGAAAAGGAAACCTGGAGAATTAGCTTAGTTTGATAAACAGGATAGAAGGTAAGAGGAAATTCATCAGAGATAGAAAAGGAAGATGGTTTACCTTTTCTAAGTGTCCTATTAGCAAAGATGGGACCAGATTAGGTAGATCAGCCACATTTATGGGGTTATAGTAGGTGTGAGGGCTATGATAATGGGGATCCTGAGTCTGGAAGATATTAATCATAGGGATAAGGAATTGAGAATACTAAGAAGAATTCGGGTTGAATACAATTATTTACAAGGACAAATTGATAATTATTTTAAAAAACTGGCAAATATGATGGAAGATAATACATATTTGGGTAGGCCATTCAACCAGTCTCTATGCTGCCACTCAGTAATCTGTCGAAGAAGATAGGCGAATTATAGAGGTGGGACATCAGGACTATTTATGAGAAAATAACACTTTCCTTGGCAATGCTTTCTTTTCGAGAATTTTCTAACCCTTTCTCCAGATAGGGATGTTACAAGATTTTATGTTCCTTCGATAGCGCCTATTTGGGAGATACATGTTAGCCCATACATAAGACGTTACAGCCTGCAAGTATGCTTGGTCTAAAAATCGGAGATGGCCGAACACATGACATCATATAGACTTGTCTAATGCCAAAAGCTTAGCTGGATAGGGGGGGATCATACCAGCAAGCGAAAGATTAGGGTAGCGATAGAAATTAATAAAATAGCAAAAATCCTGAATAGAAGAAATGAGAGTAATAAGTTAAGTGGAAACTACCTTCTCTGTTGGTAGGACCATAGAGAGAGGGAGAGAGTAGGGAACAAGAAGTACTACCGAGCAAAAGGAGGAAGCTTGATTAGGCTCGAATCTGGTTTTGGTTCTCACATATCACGCAGTTCAAGTGCGATACATTCACACGGAACGCGTACAATGTGAAGCAATCACACGCGGAAACATTTCAGGATAAAAAATATAACGATTTTAGGGGAGGATGTAACTGTTCAGACACAATTTCATCCATTTCACGATTTAACTGTAGTCATTTTACTTAACTTTTCAGCAAACATTTATGCAAAGTATTGGATATCCAACTAAATCATGAGATGCATTATTAAGTGGACCAGGTTTGACTATAAGGAGTAGATAGGTATGAAGTCGGCCACCGTTGTTGTCTTTGTGTTTTGGCGAATAATCGTTAAGCGTGGTGTCCTGCTCTGACGATCTGTTACACTTCGGAAGAAAGCTGGGCGACTATACATCAGGGCCGCAGAGTGGTGCGCCAAAAACCTACTTACACAAATCTACAACACGGCTGCAAAAAAATCCGCCTACATCTTTCGGTGAGGCCAACTTATGAATGCCTTCCATTTGCCACTTGAACGAAATGAACGGACTCTGACATTTGTGTTAAATCTATTTTGTAAGAAAGCTGTGTATGTAATGTAATGAAAATAATGTAATAAATTCTTAGTTAAAAGCTGGAAATTATTATGGCAGGCTACTACGAACAATATGAGTTCATCTAGGTCCCTCTGACGATAAGACCAAGTCGCAAAAGTGAGGTAAAAGCACTTCTGTGCAACGAAAGAAGACTGCGGCCAAAATAGAGGTCATACCATAGGAATATTTGTATCTTAAATTGATTATTTATATTTGATAATTTTTCTATTTGATAAGTTGTAAACTACGTGTAAACTATGACTCCTCTCAGTGATGATGACGTTCAAAGGTCTGGGAATGTGATAAGTAAACGCTCCAGCGTTGGAAATTATTGACCGTATGGCAGAGGTCACAACACTAGGTACGTTCCACAATATATATATATATATATATATATATATATATATATACCAGTTACAAACTCATTTTTGTTTAATTATATTTATCTACGCTCATTTTTTATAGAGGGGCCGATATTTCTTACCCATCTCTTGATCTTCAGAATGCAGATTCATCATTTCCCCACAGTTAGATATACCGCGCCCATTTATCTGATTCTGTGAATCCTCAGCTATGACCGAAGTAGATGAATACGAAGGGGAAGAGGAAGTGACAGCTATAGTCGTAGTGACTGTAGTGGTAGCGGCAACAGTGGCAGGGATGGGTAGAGGATATGTTGAAAGAAGTGGTCGAGTGTGATGACCAGGCATGGTGGATGGAACCGAAGAGTTGGGAGTAGTTAAAGTGGCGGCCGAAGTCGGGCTGGTTGTAATAGTGGCTGCAGGCGTGGAGTGCAATGGCTGTGCCCAATGTACCTGGGAAGGCATGAGACCAGCAGTTGATGGACCACTCGAAAGAAAGCCGGGAGGAGGAATATTCAGTCCATGATGTAGTGAGGGGAAGACGGGCGGCAGTGGAAGTGAGTATGCGGGAGCTAGATGAAAAAGGAAGGTTAGAAGAAAATACAATTCGATCAGCCGAATAATAACTGACTTATTTGCATTATAATATTATGGAGAGATATCGTCCCATAATGGACCAGAACAACGGAGGAGAAAGTAGGAAGAAACTTATCTGAATTTCTCCCGTAAACATATACGAGCTGGGAATGTAAGGCTATAATAATAATAATAATAATAACAATAATAATAATGTAAGGAAAAATGGACTGTAACCAAGAGAAAAACTATAAAATATATACTATTAGACGATCTCAAAGTATTATGAGGAAAGGGGCTTGCCTAAATTGTAGAAGAGATAAAAAATAACGTATACCCATACGCTTGACAAAATCCTCAATACATGCAATAAATTAGATGTAAACTAATATTTTTTTATAATTATGGGCTTTAAACAAAATAATAATAATAATAATAACAAGCAACAAATCCTAACGCGCATCAACCATAATAGTGGTTTTTAAAATAATTATACTATTAAGACTAGTAAATTAACAGAGGATGGAAATTAGGATGGTAGGCAGATCAATGAAAGAATTTCATTAATTTAGCAGCAAAAAATCTTCGTTCGAAATCCAACCTTCTGTCTAAAACTTAATTATTCAAGCAACAAATAAAATAAACTCAGTCTAAAAGCTTTTTTGAATAGTGAAAATATAAAACGACCCCTTGTGGTATATATATATAAGGCACATGAATAGTTTATAAGTAGTAGGTCGAATAGTCAAGATATAAATTAGGAATAGA